GGCTGGGGCTGAAGATGGCCAATGAGGCTGCTGCGAAGAACCGGGCCAAGAAGCAGGAGGCCTTGCGGAGAGTGACGGAGAACCTGGCCAGGTGAGGGGTGGGCTGGCCCTGGGCTGAGGGGAGAGTGTCTCTGCCCCACTCCTGCTTGGCACCGTCCCTGGCATTGCAGACACGTGGACTGCAGGGTAGCGTCCAGGGCAGGTCTGCCACTTCTCTGATCCATAGCGTGGCCTGACATGAACCAGGGACACTGGGTCCCCCTCCAGCTTCTCTTTCCTCTCCCTCCTCCTGGGCCCATCCCTAAGAGGCACCCTTAGGCCTGCTTAGGTCTGTGGTCCCGCTGTGAGCTCCTGTCAGCCCTGTGGAGAGAGTGTCATTATTCCCCTTGGAGAGGAGTGAGGACTCTAACTCTCAGAGCTCTGGGGTCCACCCCAGCCTCCACAGCCAAGGGCGGCACCTCGAGGTTGGCGTCACTGCCATCCAGTGCTGTCCTCCTCAGCTCAGAGTAACACACGTCTGCCCAGGCTCTTCCCAGGGCCAGAGAGGGCCTGCTGCCCGCAGCACCCGGCCACCTAACTCTGCCTCTTGCCCGTCCCTCCACCCCAGCCTCACCCCCAAAGGCCTCAGCCCGGCCATGTCTCCAGCCCTGCAGCGCCTTGTGAGCAGGACGGCCAGCAAGTACACAGACCGGGCCCTGAGGGCCAGCTACACGCCATCCCCAGCACGATCGACCCACCTTAAGACCCCGGCCAGCGGGCTGCAGACCCCCACGAGCACACCCGTCCCGGCCTCTGCTGCGCGCACCCCCCTCACGCTGGACCCGGCCTCCATCACAGACAACCTGCTGCAGCTCCCCACCCGGCGCAAAGCCTCGGACTTCTTCTAGAGCCAGGCCCGGGCTGGGCCCGTGGACACTTTGTGGAGCCTGCAGGGCAGCTGTGTACCCAGCAGAGGACTCTTGCCTTCTGGGGACCCAGGCCCGGGCCAAAAGTGGTCGCCCATTGCAGGAACCACAGGAGGAAGGTGCCGTGCCGCAGCCAGGCTGGCACAGGGCACGTGCCCACCCTGTACTCTGGGTCCTTGCCTTCAGTGAGAGGCCCCCAGGGGAGAAAGCTTCCGGCGGGGTGGGCTTGGGAGGGCTGGGGGACTCCGGCAGTATTTCTGTGACACCTGGAACCTGCCTTCTGAGCTGAGCTTGCGCGCGCACCTGGTGCTGCTGCTCCTCTGAGGGAGGGGGAGCCCCTGGCGATTGAGCCCCTTGGGTCCTCGGCCTCCCAGCCGGGCCTGCCCTGCACAGTTGGCCAGTTACAGGGCTGCATGGGGGCTGACTTGGCACTGGGCACCTTCCTAGTGGGCTTGGCCAGGGCCGTGTCCCAGCACCTGGCTTCCAGCCCAAGTGGGGCAGGGCCGAGCCTCTTCCTGCCCCTCTGCCCA